CCGGCAAGCGGTGAGGGGGCGGCGGGGAACCGGAGGAGGGGACACCCCCACCCCGGGGAGGGCAGCCGGGGCTGGCCGCTGACCGCCCTCTCTGCCCGCAGGAAGAAGAAAAAGGCGAAGGACAAGGCCCAGATCCTGGAGCAGATCGTCAGCAGCAAGAAGCAGGAGGAGGAGAAGAAGCGCGGCCTGGACAAGCGGACCCCGGCGCAGGTGGCCTACGAGAAGATGCAGGAGAAGCGGGTAGGGCTGCCCTGCCTGGGCCAGGCCCCCTCTGGGGACTCGGGGGGGGCTTTAAAAACCCCGGATGCGGCCCCTGAGGGGCTGAGAGTGCTGAGGTAACTGGCCTCTCTTGTGTCTTCCTACAGCAAATGGAGCGGATCCTGAAGAAAGCGTCTAAAACCCATAAGCAGAGAGTGGAGGTAAGCTAAATTATCCCGATTTGCTCAGGCCGGCGTGTATTTGTCAGCCGGCAGGCTTGTTGGGCTGAAGGAACTGTTTCCCCTCTGTGAAACACAGAAGTGGCGAGGCAGAGGGTCTCGTGGTTCAACAGTGGTGGTGTCAGCGCCAAATATGAAACGTTTTCTTTCTCCTTCTCTCCCTTAGGACTTCAACAGGCACTTGGATACTCTGACTGAGCATTACGACATTCCTAAAGTCAGCTGGACCAAGTGAACGCACTGCTTTTCGAGGCTTTGGATCAGGAGCTGTGTTTTGTTTGGATTGAACAGGGTTGCCATGTAAATCTGTGTATTCTCCATACTGACTGTTTAATATATCTTCTCAACGTTTACGACTTCGTACTGTCTTATTTCATTGTTCTGTTTTTTTTAAAACCATATATTCAACAAAGTCTCTTCTTGGCTGATGAGCTCTGATTTATGTAGGTGCAGAGGGCTATTTTTTTTTTACCGCTTAAAGTGAGATTAAGGCCAAAATCAACTGCTGTGAGCCAGCTGGAAAATGTTCCTTTGATTGATACTAACAGTTCTTTTTGGACGTGAAGAGTCTGACAGTCTCACATAGCGTAAGCTTCTCTTGTAAGTTATAGGAATTGTATAATTTCCTTCTCTCTGGAGTTCTTTCAGAGGTGGGAGCTCTGCTGTAATTTGTAACTTTGGTGTAACTTATTAAAATGCTGCTTTCATCCTTTTTTTTGGTGCTGACTCACCTATAAAACCAGGGGCAGTGCACTGACAGAAGAGTTTGTGTGTGGAGTTTTTGAAGTGCCTTGCCTGCCTTCGCAATCCTTACGCCCTTTGCAAGATGCCGTGTATCTTGATGTTTAAAATCCTAACGTGCCACTTAAACCCGAATATTGTTCTTAAACCCAAATATCGTCCCTCTGCTGTCGCTGGGCGGGCCCTGGGTGCTCAGCGTCTGTTTGGAGCCCCCCCCTCAGCCTGCCGGCGCCCTTACCGCCCGGCCCCGCTCCTGGTGCTGTTCTCGGAGCCATTTCCCGGCGGGGGAAAAAAAAAAAAGGGGGGGACTATTTAAAGTGTGCTCGCTGAATCAACATGTTCTTCCGCTACCGCGGCGGAGCCCTGCGCGTATCCCTCCCCGCAGCAGCCGGGTCTCGTTTCGTCACTTCCTACCGGAAGTATCGTGCGGGAAGCGGAAGTCGGTGTGTCTGCGGCCGGGCGACACGGCGGGCCGGGCGGGAGGCGGTGGAGGGGCGATGTCGGCCAGCGCCGTCTACGTGCTGGACCTGAAGGGGAAGGTGAGGCCCGGGCCGCGGCGGGCTCCGCGGGGCCGAAGCGGAGGGGCCTCCGTCGCCGCGGGGGGCGGGCAG